GTGATGATAAAAATTAACTAAGGTGTGAAAAAAAGAATTGTACTGGTAGAAGATGAAAGAAGGAGGCAGAAAAGGGTAAATTACATCCCATGAAGAAAAGCAAAGACCTATTACAGGACAGGGAAAGAAGACCAGGAAGTGACCATTGTTTGAACCTTACTCTCATCAGATTTGTCTGAAAGAGGGAATAACACACACTCAGTTGGGTATAGAAACCTGTCTTATCCTATAGGAAGTAGGGGAGAGGGGAAGAAAAGGGGGGCTAATAGAAAGGAGGGCAGATTGAGGGATGTGGCAGGTAGAAGCAAAACACTGGTGAGGAGGAAAAGGGAGAAATGAGAGAGAAAAGCATAAACAGGGGAACAATAGGGTGGAGAGAAAAACACAGTAATCATAATTGTGAATGTGAGTGGAATGAACTCTAACATAAAATGGAAGTAGATAGCAGATAGGATCAAAAACTATAATCCTACAATATGTTGTTTACAAGAAACACATTTGAAATAGAGAGATATAAACAGAGTAAAGGTAAAAGGCTAGACCATAATGTATTATGCTTCATCTGAAGTTTAAAAAAAAATCCTGATGTCAGACAAAGCAAAATCAAAAAGAGATCTAATCAAAAGATATGAGAATGAAACTATATCCTACTAAAAAGGTACCATAAACAATGAAGTAATATCAATACCAAACATAATATGCATGAAGTGGTATGGCATCCAAATTCTTAGAGAAGTTAAGTGTGTTACAGGAAGAAATAGACAGCAAAACTATACTAGTGGGGGCCCTCAACTTCCCCTTCTCAGAACTAGCTAAATATAACCATGAAATAAACATGAAGGAAGTTAAGGAGGTGAATAAAATTTTAGAAAAGTTGATATGGTAGACCTCTAGAGAAAATTGAATGGGTATAGAAATGAATATACCTTTTGGTCAGGGCTACATAGCACCTACAAAATAAATGCATCCTTTTCAGATCATGATGCAATAAAAATTGCATGTAATAAAGGTCCATGGAAAGATAGTGGAAACTAAGTAATCTAATCCCAAAGAATGAGGGGGTCAAACAACAAATCATAAAAATACTCAATAACTTCATCCAAAAGAATGACAATAATTGGACAAGAGAATGACAGTAATGAGACAATATATCAAGCCTTATGAGATGCAGCCAAAGCAGTTCTTAGGGGAAATTTTATGCCTCTATATGCTTATAGAAATAAAATAGAGAAAAAGGATATAAATGAATTAGAAGAGTGCAATAAAACTAAAATTAATAAAACTATTGAACTAACAAATAAAACTAAGAGCTGGTTTAAAAAAACAGCAACAAGAAAATAGATAAGCCTTTGGTTGATTTGATTGAAAAAAAAGTAGAAAACCAAATTAACAGTATCAAAAATGAAAAGGGTAAATTCACCACCAATTAAGAGGAAATTAAAACAATAATTAGCAACTATTTTGCCCAACTGTATGCCAATAAATCTGACAATATAAGTGAAATGGATGAATAGTTTCAAAAATATAAATTTCCCAGATTGATAGAAGAGGAAATAAAATATTAAATAACCCTATTTCAGAAAAAGAATTGAACAAGCCAACAATGAACTCCCTAAAAAAAAATCTCCAGGGCCAGATGGATTTAAAAATGAATTCTACCAAACACTTAAAGAGCAATTAATTCCAGTATTTTATAAACTATTTGCAAAAATAGGCAAAGTACAAGTCCTATCACATTCTCTTTATGGTACAAATATGGTGCTGAAACTTAAACCAGGAACAGCCAAAACAGAAATACAATTTCCCTAATAAATATAGGTGAAATAATGTTAAACACAATAACAGCAAAGAGATTATAGCAACTTGTCACAAATATAATACATTATGACTGGGTGGGATTTATAAAAGCAATACAGGGCAAGGTCAATATTAGAAAAACTATGAGCCTAATTGAACATATCAATAATAAAATTTACAGAAATGTCAATAGAAGAAAAAGCTTTTGAGAAAATTAAACTCCCATTTCTATTAAAACACTTGAAAGCATAGAAATAAATCAATTTTCATTAAAATGACAAATAATATCTATCTAAAACGATCAACAAGCATTATACGTAATGGGAATAAGCTAGCAGCTTTTCCAATAAGATCACAGGTGGGGGCAGCTAGGTGGTGCAGTGGATAGAGCTCCAGCCTTGGAGTCAGGAGGACCTGAGTTCAAATCCAGCCTCAGACACACGACACCTACTAGCTGTGTAACCCTGGGCAAGCCACTTAACCCCGACTGCCTGACAAAAAAAAAAAGGTCACTGGTGAAACAAGGATGTCCATTATTTCCACTGTTATTCAATATTGCACTAGAAATGTTAATTTTAGCAATAAGAGAAGAAAAAGAAATTGAAAGAAGTAGAATAGGCAATGGAGAAACAAAGTTTTGCAAATGATACGGTGGTATGCTTAGAGAATGCTAAAGAATCAACTAAAATAGTACTTCAAATATTTAACAATTTTAACAAAATTGCAGGATAAAAAGTAAACCCATATGAATCATTGGCATTTCTACACACTGCTAAAAAAGCCCAGCAACAAGAGATAGAGAAATCCCACTTAAATAAACTGTAGACAATAAAAAATATTTGGTGGTCTACTTGTGAAGACAAATTCAGGAACTATATAAACATAATTACAAAGCACTTCTCACACAAATAAAGTCAGATCTAAATAATTGGGAAAATACCAGTTGTTCATGGGTAAGTTGAACTAATATAATAAAAATCAGAATTCTATCTAAATTAATTTACTTACTCAGTGCCATACCAATCAAACTACCAAAACTTATTTAATAGAGCTAGAAAAATAACAAATTCATTTGGAAGAACAAAAGTCAAGAATATCAAGGGAATTAATGAAAAGAAATACAAAGGAAGGAGGCCTAGGTATACCAGATCTAAAACTGTATTATTAAGCAGCAATCATCAAAACTACTTGCTACTGACTAAAATAAAAAGTGGTGGATTGGTGGAATAGGTTAGGTAAACAAGACACAGTAATCAATGATTATAGCAATCTACTGTTTGTGAAACCAAAAGCTGGAGAGTTTCTGGGATAAGAACTCATTATTTGACAAAAACTGTTGGGAAAACTGGAAAACAGCATGGTAGAAACTAGGCATAGATCAATATCTTACACCATATTCCAATTTAAGATCAAAATGGGTACGTGATTTAGACATAAAGGATGATACCAAAAGCAAATTAAGAGAACAAGGAATAGTTTAGCCGTTGGAGAAGGGAAGACTTTATGACCAAACAATAGGTATAGAACATTAAGACATGCACAACAGATAATTTTTATTACGTTAAATCGAAAAGGTTTTGCACATGACAATGAAGAGAAGCAGAAAGTGAGGGAAATTTTTTTTACAGCTAGTGTCATTAATAAAGGCTTAATTTCTAAAATATGTAGAGAACTAAGTCAAATGTATAATACAATTCATTCCACAATTGATAAATGCCCAATGGATATGAAAAGGCAGTTTTCATCTGAAGAAGTTAAAGTTATCTATGTTCATATGAAAAAATACTCTAAATGACTATTGATCAGAGAAATGCAAACTAAAACAACTCTGACATACCACATACACCTATCAGATTGGCTAACATGACAAAACAGGAAAATGATGTTGGAGAAGATGTGGGAAAATTGGAACACTAATGCATTTTTAGTGGAGTTGTGAACTGATTCAACCATTCTGGAGAGCAATTTGGAACTATGCCCAAAGGCTATAAAACTGTGCTACAGAAATACCACTTCTAAGTCAAAAAGGCAAAGGACAACTGCTATCAAATTCTTTTTATGGTACAAATATGGTGCTGAAACCTAAACTGTGAAGAGACAAAATAGAGAAACAAAATTATAGACCAATTTATTGCCCTAAGTCAAAGAGATTATAAAAAAGGTTAAACAAACAAACAAAAAAGACTCACATGTACAACAACATTTACAGCAACTCTTTTTGCGGTGGCCAAGAATTGGAAACTTAGGGGATACCTGTCAATTGGGGACTGGATGAACAAGTTGTGATATACGAATGTAATGGAACACGATTGTTCTATAAGAAATGATGAGCAGGCAGATTTCAGAAAAAAACCTGGAAAGACTTACATGAACTGATGTTGAGGGAAGTGAGCATAACTAGAACAATGTACGCAGTAACAGCAACATTGTACTATGACTGACTTTGATAGACTTAGCTCCTCCCAGCAATGAAATAATCTAAGACAATTCCAAGACTCATCACAGAAAATGCTATCCATATCCAGAGAAAGAACTATGGAGTCAGAATGCAGATTGAAGCATACTATTTTCTTTCTTTTTTGTTCTTTTTTTCCTTTCCCATGGTTTTTCCCTTTTGTTCTGATTCTTCTTTCACAACATGACCAGTGTAGAAATATTTTAATATGATTGCACATGTATAGCCTATATCAGATTGCGTTCCATCTTTGATAAGGAGGGCAGTGAGGGGAAAAATTTAGAAGTCAAAATCTTACGTGAGTCAATGTTAAAAACTAAAAATAAATAAATTAAAGCATATTTTTAAAAATCCATAAAACCTGGACTGTGGAAACAGAGCAGAGGAATGGTTCCATCAAAGGGGGTTGCTTTGTAAGCTGTTTCCACAACTTAAATTTTGTAAGCTCCCATATAATATGTGAATGTATTTGTGTACATGTGTCCCCTATTAGCAAAATAACCTTTTTTCTTAATATTAAAAAACATATCTTTTAGGATCACACCCAGTAGGTTACAATTCTAGGTCTAACTTTCATATAAATAAGTTTAGTTGACCCTAAGGCACTGCCTAAGCTCCTTCTCTGTTCACCCCAGACAAACTCCCAAACCCTCCCTGTACACATGAATGAACTCTTCTAAAACGTGTATAAAAACCCTGGTTTAGTCAGCCAGTTAGGCTGACTAACTATCTGGATGGGAGAGTTTACCTGACTCTGCTCAAGAGGTCCAGTAGCCTTCGTGATGCAATCCAGAACTCCTGTAACTATGGACAGCTCCTTGGGAACAGCTCCCATCACTCTTTCCCTACACCATTTTCTCTTGAAACGAGAAGGAAAAAGGAATCCAAGGGAGTAAATTTATGTTACTAAAGAAATAAACTCAGGCACCAAAAATATTTACTTTATATCTCACTTCAGCTATGTCCAAGCTATGGCACCTTCTTTCACTTCCTGTGAACAATATCAGAGTCAAAGGAGTGCTCTGATAGAATAATAATAATTGCTCTATGTGATGTTCATGGAAATATGATGAAAAGTGAAGGGGAAAAAATTAAATTGAAATAACATCAAACATCACCATCATCATCGAATTCATCAGATTCATCATCATTATCACATTCTTACTGCCAGAATAACGAATGATTAAGGAATGATCATTTCCAAAGTGATTCCCTTAGGACTCCGGATGAATAAACTAATTTCACTATCAAATGACCCCACTATTGTTTTACTAGCTACAAAATTTCTTCAGAATCCATATCCCTTTTAAACATTTCAAAAGGACCCAGGCCCTCAATGACATTGTCACATAATAAACCCTAAAGGCCGTGAAGGAAAGGAATGCAACTAAGTGATGGAGGTAAAGGTGAAATTAGAGGTAGAGTCCAAATTCTTTTTAAAATACTCAAAGAAAAATGTTGCTAATTCCATATTAGTCCAAGGAGGTTAGCAACCTCAAATTGGGAATCAGAAATCTTGACTTGATATCTCACTTCAGCTATGTCCTAGGTGTAGCACCTTTGCTTATTCACTGTGAAAACTCACAGAAGCAGAGGAGCATTCTGACAGAATGACAGTACTTGCTTCACGGGGTGAACAGGAAATTATGATGAAAACTGAAGGAAAAATTAAACAGAAATGATATTAAACATTAGCATTAATGTCATCATAATCATTATCATTTCTATCAGAACCACAAATCATTAAGGAAAGATCACTTTAAATGGGGATCTGTAAGACTACTTATATATAAAGTAATCTTGCTGTCTGTAGACCCCCTCTTCACTTACTAGCTACAGAACCCATTCAGAACCCTTACCTCCAAATGTAACTTCACATTTGAAAAGGCATTCCAGAGACTTTACTTTCAAACTAAGGGTAACAGTTGCAATTGGTTTTTAAGAAGGAGTCTGAAAACTGAAAGAGAAAATGCCTCATAATGAGAAATGAAAAAATCATTTTAACCAAAAGGCAGATGCACACAAAAAGTTTTGATTAGTTTATCACTGTCTGTATTAACCTGTAAACTGATCCTGCTTTCTAACAACTTTAGTCTTTTTCAATCTCTTTTCCTTCTTCTTTAATTTATGAGAACATGGCTTACCAGATTTCAGGTGACTGTAAAAAAATACAAAAAAACATGATTATTCACTCTCAATCAATGAGGAAAAGGGCTATAACATGGGACTGAGGTGAAAACTTATCCATTCATACCCAAACCTCTATACATTTAGCTATGGAATAGGCCTTTGGTCAACAATACCCAATTGGTCTCATCAGGGCCATGAGACCACCCTGGCTTTTCTTCTCTATGGCTCTTGATGACAAGGAAATGTAAATAGTTGAAGAAGTGGCAGTCAGTACATAATGCTGCAAAAGATGTTGGCAGATACAAAGGTTACCAAGTGACTTAGCACCCAGAATTTGGCATGAGAAAGTTGAATTGCAATCTCAAGTCAGTTGTTCCACATTTTGGCACTGCGATGTCACTTTCAGCAGAAAATTTCTCTTTTATGTGCAGTCTATATTGTCACTTACCCCACTAAGTGGCCAGGGTTTTGTGATAGCAAATAAAAGAAAAATTGAACATCATTATCATCTTCATCATCATCACCACTACCAACCACCACAAGTACTATCATTATTGATTATCACTGTTGTCAGAACCATTCAGAATGCTGGCACTGACCCACTCAAAAATGGGTCATTTAAACTCCACCAGCATGATGTAAGTTGACTATCTGGAGATACTACTCCTTTATTGCCAGGCACAACCACCTCTCCACAAATCAACCTATAGAATTGCTTCTGAAATCAAAATAATACACTAAAAACTATTTTCAAATACACTTTACCACTTGCAATGGTAATTGCTACAAAGAAAGGCCCATTTGGTGACACAACCCATAGTGAAGAGACCTACTAATGATAAATGCAAACCCCCATGTAAAATGATTCAGTATCTTCCTGCCAGTATGGTCTTGTAATTGACACCAGCTGTGTTAACATGTTTGTCTTTTGCAAGAAACATTTTGCCATGTTCAATTCGATGGAATTGAGAGTGAGAAATTTGATAAAGCCTTAGAAAAAAGCCAAGAATAAGGTCTGAGCACTCAACATGTAAGAGTCACAGTTCAAGACTGTGTTTGAAGACAAGGGCCATACATTTAAATCGCTAAGCTTTTCTCTGTATTTGGACTGGTAAAAGTACTGCTGGCCTCATTTCTCTTCATCAATTCATCAGTGCCACAGAAAAACCATGTCACATTTGATATGTAGACCTGGAAGACAAAGGAATGGCCAGACCTGAAGAGCTGATGGGAAATAAAGTAGAAGAGCCAAACTAGTCCCAACTAGGGAGGTGTCCAAGTGGTTTCAAGCTCATCTGGACTTGAATAAACCTCCTATGGCATTACCAACATCTATCCTTGAGCAGTTTTACAAGGAATTTGGACTCTAACCCTAATTTTGCATTCAATTCCATCATTTAGCTGCATTCCTTTAATTCATGGTAAAAGCTATTATACTTTGCAGTGTTTCTGCTAAAACCATTGATGGCATTGAAGGCCTATGTTTTTTTGAAAGATCATAAAGATATTTCTAATTTGGGGGATAAGAAAATTAAAGTGGTCCTCAAGCCCAAAACATAGGACTTTTACTATGTCATGTTGGTGGTAGACATATTGAAGTTTAGTTTGTAAATGCTATCTCTTCAAATTTCACAAGTGTTGTATTAAATTGTGACAACAGGAAGCTGGAATGCAAGGACCCAAAGATGTAGCAAGGCTGGATCAGCTTCCAGGATATTACAGGCAGTCAAGCTTTGGCTCTCTTGGCCTCTGGATCCTTCAGTGTTCAAAAAAGTTCTTCATTTCTCATTTCTCAAACTGTTGGGGGGGGTTTGCCAAATATCTAGACTCCCTTTTGTGGACCAATTTCATATGGCAACTGTTAGACTTCAAGAAGATTGCCATAAATTACTTCTGTTGGTGAAGACATTTCTGGAGGGTGAGTTTTGGAAAAGGAATCATGACAGGCAACTAGAGAAGGTGCCTCTGGATAGAGAGATCAAATTCTTCAGAAGCTTTCCTCAGGAATCTTATCTGAAGTGTTCACATGCAAAAAAAAAAAAGTATTGTTCCAAATATAAGGATTGTAATGATGGTGGTGATGATGATGTGATTGTGTCAATGTCTTACTATTTTTTAACTTCCTTTGATATCATATTATCCAAATCATGACTTGGGCACCAGAAATCTTGACTTCAAATCTCAGTTCAGTTATATCCTTGATCTGGCACCCTAGCTCCTTCACTGTGAACAGACAGAGTCTCAGATAACTCCTTTATCAAATATGTGGAATAATGGCACTTACCTCATTGGCTGACTTGGGCAATATGATGTGAAAGGAAGTTAAAAAAAAGTACTAGACACTGACACAATCATATTATCATCATCATCACCATCATCATTGTTAATCTTATTACTGAAACTATGCTTACTTCCTGCATAAACATTCCACATAATATTGCCGGGCAGAGCATCTGAGTGTCATCTGTCTATCAAAAGGCACTTTCTCTAGTTGCCAGTTATGATTCCCTCTCTAAAACCCATCCTCTAGAAGTGGCTTCACCCACAAAAATGATTTGCAGAGTTTTCTCTGAGATTTTTAAAAAGTTGATCCTTTATATTCCAGTGAGATTCATGTTATTCCATAACAATGGCACAGAGAGTACTGTATGTTTTTTTAATTCTGCTTTTGTTATTTATGAAAATTTCAACAAAACATGGCTTATTGTCAGTCAACAAATCTAAGAACTCTGAAAAATAGAAACTTTCACATTGAGAATGACTGCAACTGAAAATACATTAATTTTCAAAACTACATGCAACCCCTAAAACATGAAATTATAATCTCTCATAATAAAAAGTACTTAAATCCCACTATTAATTCTGTCCGAGTTTAGAAGGAAAATGAATTTTCCTTACTCTGTTATAATTTTTATTAAAATTAAAATGCACATATTTCATTATGCTCTTTGATCCAACAATATCACTATTAGGTTTGTACCCCCAAAGAGATAAAAGAAAAAGAACACATGTGTATAAAAATATTTTAGCAGCTCTTTTTGTGGTGGCAAAGAATTAGAAATTGAGGAGGTGGCTATGAATTGGGGAATGGCTGAGCAAGCTGTGGTAATTCATTGTGAAAAAAACACCATTTTGTTATAAGAAATGATGAGTAGGATACTTTCAGAAACATCTGCAAGTATAGGAACTGATGTAAAGCAAATTGAGCAGAACCAGAACAACATTGTACAGAGTAACAGTAAAATATTATGATGATCATGCATAAAGATATGAATATAGATACATAATAGATAGATGCATATGCACATATAGTATGAACATAGCTGTTTGCCCATTGTCTCCTTCCATTCAAGTATGAGCCCCTTAAGGGCAGGGACTTTGAGCTTTGGCTTTCCTTTGTATCCCCAGTGCTTAGCACAATGGGATGCAAATTGGAAGTTCTTACAAAGGCTTATTGACTGAGTTACTGACTGCCTGAGGCTTTGGTATAAAAGAAATATTCTTTGTTCGGGCTTTTCTTTCTGATTAAGGAGGCAAAACTCAAGACAAAGAGAATTTTAAAAGTTTATCATAAGTATATCAAAGTAGCAAAGTGGCAATTTACAGTTAGAGGTCCTATATCGCAGGCAGAGGTGCATAACAAAGAGCAGGTAATGCAAAATGCTGCAGACTTGGTGTCATCCTCAGCAGAACCTCCTTCTGAAAAGGTCTAAGACTTTGGGGTGCTGCTGGAACCCCAAGATCATGGTCCAGGCCCTGCCTGAAACAATTCAACTCAAATCTTGTGGGCCTGAGATTCTCAGTCATGAATGGGGGCCAGGGTAGATCTTAAATACTTTGGGTGACCAGGGAAGGGTGTGAGAAAATGGTCTGGGTGGGAATTAGGATTGCAATGACTGAGAGATTGAATAGACAATGGGAATAGATAATGAAGGAACTAAAAGGTATCTGAATAAGATCAGACAGGTGGAGCTAGGGCTTTCAAAGGGAAATAAGGGGAGTTGACAAGGGGAGTTCATAAGGAACCTGAAGTGGGAGCCAGATTCCCTTTGGAGCAAGGGGCAAAGACCTCCACTTGGGCCACACCCCATCATTCCCCCCTCAAACATATCTGACACAAATTCTTTTGGTGAAAGGGGTGAAGGTCTTGGCTTCTGAAACTGCTTCCTGCTAGCAAAGGGCGTAGAGCTGTCCCTGCCTTTCTGGGTCCTGTTTGAGGAGTCAAACTTCAAAACCTGGCTGATGTCAGGTTCAGCAGGCTACGGTCCTCAGGTTGCTATAGAGTATGAGCAGTCATCTGGAAGTTGATGGCTCCAACCCTAGAAGAAAGGAATCTGCCAAGAATATTTAGTAAACATGGACCAAACAAACACAAGAGAAATATGATCAGTAGTGGAATGAGAATAGGTGCCAGTATAGAAAGAAGCCAGGACTCCCATGAAAAAGATTTTGGAGCACTGAAGTTATTGTGAATTTCTTGCATCCAACTAGCCTTTTCCAAAATACATTCAGTGTGGAGTTCCATGTGTCCAGAGGT